AAACTTGTTTACCATTCTATTTTGATAAGGATCCACCTAATTTCTAATAAGTATAGTAAGATAACCAAACCAAAAAAAAACAAAACTCACTGCTGTGCTGCCTGATCTGACTCATATCGACCCCTCCTTGGGTTCAGGAGGTAGTATCACTACGGAAGTAGATTGCCCAATCTTCCTTCCGAGGAGTGCTGGTGGGTTTGAATGGCCAGCTTTCTGGTTAGCAGTTAAAATGCCTTAGGCACTATGCCACCAGAGCTCCTGGTAAGATAATAGTTTATTTTATTTTGTCTTGAAAGGGCTTTATTTAGTTTGGAAGTGGTTTTCCAAAAGCTTTTCTGGAGCTACATGCCTGGTCTTGTCCCAACCTTTCTTTTGGCTTATAATAAAAAACAAGAATTAGACACAAATAAATATGTGCACACTAGTGTTCATCCATCGGAGCACTATTCACAACAGGAAAGAGATGGAAACAATCTAAATGTCTATCAACGGAGGACTGGACCAACAAACTATGGCACATACACACAATGAAATACTATGCAAGAAGAACAATGATATATCTACAAAACATAACATGGGTGAATTTAGAGGCAGTAATGCTGAGTATAGTCCAGTTTTGTTTTCTGTTTTTTTTTTTTTTTTAATGCTGAGTGAAATTAGTCAATCATAAAAGAACAAATATTATAAGAAATCACTGTTGTAAAAAAAAACATGAAAAGGGTTTCACAAAAAAGAAATATTCTTTGATGATTAGCAGAGGTGAATGGGGAAGGGAAGGTAAACCACTAACTAGAAGGTAGACACATATTAACTTGGGTGAAGGAAAATAAATACATAAAATTCTAATCTGTAAAATAAATAAAGGCAAAAAAAAGAATCAGCACAATCATTAATTAATGTTTAAGTTGCCTATTATTTTTTTATGTGCATCATTTCATTTAGCTATTATTATTATTATTATTAAGTTGCCTAGTGGTGGCATGGTGCCTAAAGGATTTGATTGCTAACCAGAAGGCTGGCAGTTCAAACCCACCAGCCACTCCTCAGAAGGAAGATTGGGCAATCTACTTCCGTACTGATACTGGCTCAGAAACCCAAGAAAGGGTGGCTGTGAGTCAGATCTGACTGGATGACAGTGAGTCTGGGTTTTTTTTTTTTTTTTTTTTGGTTTTACTTTGAAAGATAAAAGTTAACCAAATTCTTTCACTTTTACTATTTATTTTTGGTAAGTTTCACTTTTTCCTTATGATTTTCCATTTTGTGATTATCAACAGCACAGCATTTTTAAAATAGCACACACAAAACAAAGCAACACACACACATATACACAAGTACATAATTTCAAGCTTTTTCAATTAGGTCAACCTATATTAAAATTACTGGAAGTGTATCCTGGGTAAAGTCCAAAAACTCTCGTCCCGAACTTGGACAAGTAATCTTTGCCCCAACTCTGGGACAATTAACCCTTGCCCCAAAGACGGCCACTGGCCTTCTAAAGAATCCAGTGGTAATTGCATTCCAACATCCTCTGTATGAAAATAGCAATTGGCTCATAATGCTTGCATATGTAACACCACTAGAGACAGGTCCAGCTTTATATATTAAACGTGGCTCTCCCATCATACCAAGTACAACAGTTTGTGTGTTCCCTTAATTAGAGCTCTGGTGGTGTAGTGCCTAAGGCATTTGACTGCTAACCAGAAGGCTGATGGTTCAAACCCTCCAGCAACTCCTCGGGAGAAAGATTGGCAATCTACTTCTTTAGAGATACCACCTCAGATCAGAAACCCAAGGAGGATCACTTTGAGTCGAATGGACTGTATTGGGTTTTTGTTGTTGTTGTTGTTAGAGGCAATAAAGAAAAAGAGCAAAAAGTCTAGCTGTACTGACAACTATTGCCCACTAGATGTCATTATGTTGTTGTTGTTTGCCGTTGAGTTGGCCCCGACTCTTAGCGAGCCCTCCTTGGGTTTCCGAGGCAATATCACTATGGAAGTAGCATTGCCCAACCTTCCTTCCTGGTGGGTTTGAACCGTCAGCCTTCTGGTGAGCAGTCAAGTGCCTTAGGCACTATGCTACCAGAGCATAGATGTCTATAATGTTATAATATTAAGCCTAAATCAGCTTTGGGATGCCTAGCAGACAGGTTGAAAAGGGAAAGGAAAAAGGAAAAAGATTTTACAATAAATTTTAATTTCTTGAAAGCCATCAAACACAATGACAGAGGCTTGGGATTTCAATAAGACTCACCTCTGACTACCTCTGAAAACCATGAAGGTGGCTGGAGCAGAGGGCTCATGGCATGGTGGTGTTAGTTTTGTGTCCAATGACTCTGATGAGTTGTCTTTGAATCCAGCCGTGACTATGCCATTTAAATGAAATGGCCCAGTGTGAAAGCATAGACTCTGTAAAGAGATTTATCAGAAGTCCAGAGATGATCTGCACTGGCAAGACATCCAAATTCACAGAGTAAAAATGGCCAGTCCACCATGAGGAAGAAAATATTTTTGTATAGTTGGATAAATAACTAAAAGTTACAAAATCGTTGATTGGCTGAAAGACAATCATGGCAATGAAAGACAAGATATCTAAAATCAAGGATCTGGCCGGGATAGGTGGATAACATACGGGGGATTATGTGATTGGTTAAGGAGATGTGCTCTTCAATTTATTACATGATTTGTTTTTGTTGTTGTTATGTGCGTCATGGTCATTGGAAAATGGCAGAATAGGTTTTTCTGGTAACTTGCTATTAAAATTGCTTGTTCAATAATGCCTGTTCCTAGGGGGCCATTGTAATGATTTATCAACAATGCTGTCCATAAAGTCCGTTGGAGTATAATCTATTGCAGCTTAGTTTGTTTGACCACTGAGGAAAAGATCCTCTGGAAATTGTGATATCCTGGACCTGCCAGACCTCAAAGAAAAAGAATGTCTCCTTTAGGGTATCTAGTTAGGGCAACAGCAAGGTTAGAGGATCTCCTGTTAGAAACAGCAACTTGCAAATTCATTATGGATTCTAGACTCATTAAAATGGAATTAAGGTTCCACTTTCAGACTGCTGTATTTACCTCCACAAAACACCTCTGATTTTAGACTCTCATGCACTTCAAAGTTTACAAAGTCTTTATTCCCAAACAGTTAATAACAATCACATTCAGAGCTTTATAAGATATAAGTGCTACTTGTAAGCACTTCACCTTGATCCTTTGTTTTATATGTTTTTCACATTTACCTTCTTTCTTTGATGGAAATTTATTGAAGGTTGTAGTCCTGTTTTGTGTATCTTTTGTTTTTTCCATAATGTGATGCTTACTAGAATAAAACTGAGATGGCATATGATAGATGAAATTACTAGGAAATTGGTCAAGGAGTGGTATTGACTATTATCTATCTAAAATGGCATCATGATTATAATTGTATTTTATACATTTCTATGATGTACAGATTGTAATTATAACTAAAATGCAACTTCAGTCTCTAGACTAAAATAAAAATATATTGAAAGTTTTAGTACCACCACTGCTGCATGTCACATGCATATAAGTAGAGTGTTCAAATTGTCTTGAACTTTCAAAATAAAAGAGAAAAAAATAACATAATAGACTCTAAAATATAGAAAAATAAGGAAATAGTAAATGAGTAATTCCTCCTGCCCCTGACAAAAAGGAAACAAAATAATAATAATAATAAATGAACGTTAAAAAATATTGATGTCCCAAGTATTACTTTTTTTATTTTAAAATAGCTCACTTTTATATAATTTATGTAATATTGTTTCCTAATGTCACCTTTCCGTAGTTTTCTGACCTCAGATGGAATACTGAGTTCACAAATATCAACTTGATGGCAATTAACAGCAATAGTACACTATCCATATATGCGACATTCAAAATAAGTTTCATTTATTTAGAATTGTGCTGCAAAGTCAGGACTATGCACAACTAAATCAGCAAATAACCTTAAAGATAAGGAGGTAAATTGAGAAAACTATTTCTAAATATCCTATTTGTTTCTCAGATATTAGTCTGTTATTTATCTGTAGCCATAATACATATACATTATTGAAAATTAGATATATAGATTATAGTTGTATAATATCCATAATCTGAATTTTAAACATTCATCCATATGTTTTATTTTAAAAATTTGAGGCAACATTGGCCAATGTTCAAACAGAATTGCATAGTTATGTGTGCTGCTCTGCACACATAAGATGAGGCAGCCTGCTTCTGTAATGATATATATATATATATCTGGTGGCACAGTACCTAAGGCATTTGACTGCTAACCAGAAGGTTGGTGGCTCAAATTCACCAGCTGCTCTGTGGAAAGAAGATGAGGCAATCAACTTCTGTAAAGATTTGCCAACTTGGAAATCCAGTGGGGGTCTCTAAGAGTTGGAATCAATTTGATGGCACTGGGTTTTATACATACATACACTTACATATATATACAAAAAAAAAACAAACACCAAACTCATTGGTGTAGAGTTGGATCTGACTCATAGCGACCCCTCCTTGGGTTTCTGAGGCAGTACCACTACTGAAGTAGATTGCCCAATCTTCCTTCCTTCAGAGTGGCTGGTGGGTTTGAACCACCAGCTTTCTGGTTAGCAGTCAAATGCCTTAGGCACTATACCTCCAGAGCTTATATATATATATGGAGGGAGCTCTGGTGGTACAATGGTTAAGACATTCAGCTTCTAACCAAAAGGTTGGTGGTTCAAAGTTCGAACCCACCAGCTCCTCTGTGAGAAAAAGATGAGGCAATCTGCTTGTGTAAAGATTTACAGCCTTGGAAACCCTATGGGGCAGTTCTACTCTCTTCTATAGGGTAGCTATGAGTCTGAGTCAAGATGGCAGTGGGTGTGATTCTTTTACATAATTACTAAAACATTCCAAAGATGGACAACTCAGAAATATGCTGTTGTAATATTGCCATTTGAAGAATGAACATAAAGAAAACTAAGGAATACTTATGTCCATTTTCAATTTCAGGGGCGCCTATGGTCATGAGGTTGGGAAACGTCCTTGGATTACAGGAGATGAGTGTATTACAGGTCTTATGACTGACATTGTAGGTAAGTATAACATGCAATGATTATTGCTTAGTTAAGCATGGGTTAGAAAGCCAAAATTTCATCGAAGAACATCCTGATTTTCTATGTTAACCCATAATTGTAAAGGATTAATATGTGTAACTTGTAGTTGTTCATTCCAAGGATGCTATAATGAACATTTAAAAATAAATAAATAAATAACCTATAGCCATTATGTTGATTTCAACTCATAACGACCCTATAAGACAGAGTAGAACTGCCTCATAGGGTCTACGGGACTGTAAATCTTGTATGGAAGCAAACGACCACATCTTTCTCCTTCACAGTGGTTGGTGGGTTTGAACCTCCAGTCTTTTGGTTAGCAGCTGAGTGCTTAGCCACTGTGCCACCAGGGCTACATGTTCTAATGAACATAATCAGGTTATTTTGTATGAAAATAAAGTGTATACTGTTATTTTTCTTGTATATTTAAGAATATTTGCTCCACTTATGAAAAGTACATGCATTTTATTCATTTTTAATTAAATAAATTTCATAAAAACAACTTAAACGGATTTTCTATTTCACTGTATGGTAAAATAAATGCTAACATTCACATGTTAAAGATTTAAAACACTCAGTATATTTTAGCTGCATTTAAATTGAATCTTTAATGATTTTTCTAAAATTAGATTCAATGTTATTGGCAATAATAAAGCCAATCCTTTTTTTGGGGTCTATACCTCTCCCTAAAGTGAACTATTTGCAGTATTGGTGCCATTCAAGAGTTCTAGATGGTTTAAATCATAGATGTGTTACCATTAAAATATGTGTGTGTGTATCTATCTATCTATCTATCTATCTATCTATAGCCTGGTGGCATAGTAGATAAGGCATTTGGCGGCTAACCAGAATATGTATGTATGTATGTAAGTGTGTAATAAGCATGTATGTGTTTATATATATATGTATGTATATGATATTTAATTGTGTTATATATTCAGCATTGCCCAAAATCTTCTGTGAAATTTAGGGTATTGAACAATAATGGGTATTCTAGCAATTGGAACTTTGGTAGCATAGTGCCTAAGGCGCTTGACTGCTAACCAGAAGACTGGCAGTTCAAACCCACCAGTCACTCCTTGGAAGGAAGTTTGGGCCATCTACTTCCTTAGTGATACTGCTTCGGAAACACAAGGAAGGGTGGCTATGAGTCGGATCCCACTCGACAACACATAACAACAACAACAACAAGCATTAGGAACAGAGTTTTTGGAAAAATTTGGAGTTCTTAGATAACTCCACCTTTCAAAATCCTTTTAAAATCTTACTCCCTTATGCAGTTCGAGTTGCTGTCAAGTAGATTCAGACTCAAGGCTACTCCATGTGTGTTAAAGTAGAACTGTGTTTCAAAGGGTTTTCATTGTCTGATTTTTTGGAAGTAGATGGCCAGGCTTTTCTTCTGAGCCACCTCTGGATGAACTAAAACTCCAACCTTTAGGTTAGCTGCTGAACAAGTAGTTTCTCCTCAGTCTTTCTCAGGCAAACACAAATATACCTTTATTTGTTGACCATTAGATGTGTCTTGGCCTGTGATTAGATGACAAAATCAACTTGGGCTGGGAAAGAAATGGAATTGTTGTTGTTGTTACGTGCCGTTGAGTCAACCCCAACTCATAGTGACCCCTCCTTGGGTTTCTGAGGTGGTATCTATATGGAAGTAGATGGCCCAACCTTCCTTCCGAGGAGTGCCTGGTGGGTTTGAACCACCAGCCTTCTGGTTAGCAGTCAAGTACCTTAGGCACTATGCTGCCAGAGTGTGGAAAATAAGACATGTCCAGAAAGAATAATGGAAATTGACAAATTACTAAATCTGAGGAATATTTCATTTATTCAAAACTAATTATTGAACTTCTGCCATATGTCAGAACATGTAGTAAGCATAAAGGATGAAATGATAAACTAGAATACTAACCATCCTTACCTCCATGGGCTCTTCCAGGAGAACATAGCCCAGCAAGGATTCTACACAGCCCTGGATGCTTAGCGCTGAAACTCAGCTGCTCATAAACCAGGGCTAGAATCTCTGCCAGCCAGGCTCTTCAAAGGCCCTATCCAAGCAAATCTCCCATAGCAGTCAGATACTAGGAAATACAGAGGTAGCTCTTAAGTCAAATTAGAGAAATTACCACCTGAGCAATTCTGGGTTGCATTTAAAGTTGTGTTAAACAATTATTTAATAATGTTTCATTTATGTTCTTTACTTGTTTTCTGTTCTTCACATATAGGTACTTTTCATATTTAATAGTTTTGTAAACACATAGATAACACATATTTTTCAATTTAATATCAGTGTATTAATTTTTCAGAAGTCTATTTTATTCATTCAAATGCCCTATAAACAAATCCCCGGATTAATCTGACCTATGAATGTATTTTTTCCGTAGCAAACAGACAAGTTATATATTTTTTTTCCCCTCCCTAGGTTTATTTTCAGAACATAAACTGAATCCTACTACGTTGTTTTGTGCTTAATATTTACCATCCTTTAAAGAGGAGTTTGAATGTTTTATACAGGCCAAGAAAGTGGTGAGGTGATATTATTTATGAAGCCAATAAACTTGACAAAAAGATTTCCTTTGACCATTTAAAAGTTTATAGCTATTAAATGTGCAAGTATCTTGTTGTAAATACGTATATGTCACGTGAAAACCACTGAGTTTTCAAACCAGCCTCTTCTCATTATTGTTACTAAGATAAATGTGTGGGTAAAGAAATACTATAAATATTCAGGCTTGTTTGGAAAAGCAAAAGTAGTGACCTTATTTAAAAATCTTATTTTTTTTAAATAAAAATTTTCAACTCTAACTTTAGTGATTTTTGGCTGTCTTTGAAATATGCCACAAAGTTTTAACACAGTTGTGTTCTTATCTTTGGACAGTGTAAATTAATTAAATCATGATGCTTATTCCTAAAATCTAATATGGGCTATAAAAGATAACAATTATCTCTTGAAACGGGCAAAGTTAGTTTTACAGACATAAAACTCAATAAACAGTATATATTTTGTTTTTCCTTTTTTTCTTTATTTCCCCAAAGTCTCAAGCCTTATGTGACAAATGTACTGTCATATTTCATTTAAATATTATCAGGGAATGAAGGTTGGGGAGCTCTGGTAGCATAGTGCCTAAGGCATTTGACTGCTCACCAGAAGGCTGGCGGTTCAAACCCACCAGCCACTCCTCGGAAGGAAGGTTGGGCAA